TGTTATTTATACTTTTCGTGTAAGTACAAATAAATATTATGTCAATATGTTTCGATTTAATAGCGATAAGATGCCAGACAAGAAATAAGTTTTAAACCATAAATAGCTACACTCTGAACGGCTACTTGGATAACTAGTACACGTTGATGTTATTAAAACTTCCCTTATACATTCGCATATATAATATAGCCAACTTGTAATTGTAAGCTATAACATGTCTCGTTCATCAAATACTACTTGTTTTTCATTTATAAGTTAGTTTTACCTGTTCTATACAACTGTACAAGGAACAACAACTAAAAACCGGTGATAATATTATTAATATTAGCAAATATGTCACAAAATTAATCAAGAAGATATTTTACTGTATTGTGTTTATATTGTTATTAACCATGTACGAGGTTCATTAACTGAACGTAGTACCGTACAAGCATTATAATACAATTTTAAAAACTATGATTTTCGTTTATAAAAAAATGGACCAAAATCAGGGGTGTTCTCAGAAATTGTATAATGGTAGTGAATGAGTAAAAATAAATTTGTACAGTAAGTGAAAACAAATACTTGTAACAAAAAAAAAAAAATTGGTGAACCATTCTCCCTTCCCTACTCTCTCCTCATAGTGAGCGTAAGCACGCCCATACAATTATTTTGACAACATAGAATAGTCGAGTGGGTACCAGATTTGTTAATACTAAATACTTTGGAAATTGTCTATAAATGCATATTGACAATATTACTTTGTCGAATACTACTCAAAACCTTATGCCTTAATAAGTACAAAAGAATATCGCATTTAAAATAATGCCCTGAAGTGTTATTACCTTTGTACTTTTATAAATGAAGCGGTATAGACTTTTTAATATTCCATATTTACAAAATACTGGAGAGTTTAAAAAATGTTTTTGTATAATCAGGGAAAAGTATTATTAGTCTTGTCAGCCGACAGTGCGGTGTACGTGTAAAAAATATAAAAATATAAATTATCTGCGCCAATAAGATTTCGCATCGTGAACAAATTAGAACTAAAACATTAATTAATATTTCCGTCGCGTTTCTCTGCAGACTTTGTACTGGATTAACGTAAATAATTAATTAATTAAAGTTTGCAATAAGTTTATAAGAGTATAAAAAGACGGAGCATACTCGTGAGTGCAAATACTTTTTTAGGTTCAAAATATAATATTATTATAAGCACATCCCACAATCCAAGCACGGTCGGCATTTAACTTCTACTATGGTTCTTGATTTACACACTTTCAACGGTGGTAAGTCAAGTCGTTTTGAGATAAATAATATGATTTGCCGTTTTCAAACATGACCGAAGTTTCCTTAATCGAAAGACGTTTCAAACCATGTTACCCGAAGCGAGTCATGTGGATTTAAATTGAACCGTCCCATCAGGTAGGGTCAGTGCAATAATAATCTGGAAGGTAGCGCGGCCCTGGATTTCGCTGGTGACCATCACGTCTCGGTACGTTAAGCGCCTATCGAGGGGCGTTCGGGTGGGATCAAGTTAATTTTGACACTTTACCGTGACATATGTTTATCAAGTACGACCGGAAGGTCTGGCTACGGTGTCTGAACAATCGGACGGTTGCAAAATGTGACATTTTTCTCAAGTTTGCATACAAATATAAACAATTATTAATTCAGTCACATTAGTCAGCACTCAGCAACTTAAATTACAATATAGTTAATATACGACAAATTCAATATGAAATTTACCAATTAATATTATAGTTTACTCCAAAAACATTTAACCTATCCATACAGAATAACTAAACTGTATAACGAAATTTCACCAAGTATCCAAAAAATAATTAACATTTATTCTAGGAATTTATTTATGCGATATTTTGTGTAGTTAAAATGTATACCATTATGGCATTTATTATTTTACAACATGTGACGCTGATGCGTATTGATTTTTATTTCTAAAGGCAATTATCCAAGAAATATTTATTATTATAAATGTGTACTAAATAATATGTTATTCATCATTTGTTATTAGAAAAACTTTGGTCAACGGAACAAAATTAAAAACTAACAAAACGTTGGCGTTATCGTGTACATTAAGTTGGGTTTGGATGTATATATTACCCAGAACACAAAAAGTTTTCGAATGCAAAATGTAAAATATCCATCGGTTTTAAACACACTAAATGTTAAATTTGGTTTATTATTTAATCGTTATTCAGATATTGTATGTATACTAACATATTTATATAATATCATTAAATTATAATATTGAAAGGTATGAAAATAAATTATTGGTAAGCATATTTTAAAAATAAATGAATAAGAAAGAAGTATGAGTTATTATAAAGAAGGAATTTTATAGAAATTAATTCTTGAATAATATTTTGTGCACAATGAAGTGGCCAAATAAATTATGGAATTATGACTACATGTTTTCTATAATTATTTTAGAGAAGAAGTTTATATAAAAAAATATTTTTACTAATATATAATTAATTAGATGCCTACAATAAAAAAATAAAGTTATAAATCGGAATGATTAGTTCGATTTTTTAGAAGTGCAATGTGTTATCGATTTAATGGAAGAAAGATACAAAATTATGCTACTGATATAATTGTCGTTAACAGACTTCAATGGCATGTTACTTTATGAAGTTAAATGAGCATTATTTGTGATGGCTGACAAGAAATTATTAACCTAATATACTGTCCGTACAGCTGTTGTGCGCTAAAATTTATAATAATATGAGTATTACCTCAGAACATAGGTAACATACATAATATGGGTTATGTTATTAAATACATAGGCCTACCGCGGATCTTAATAAATTAATTGAGGGTAGCGATGGGATGTTAAATAAATCTACATTGTGGAAAACAAAAGACACAACATGGCCGGTGAGAGGACCGGCGCGACAGTAAACAAATGTATCTGTGTACAGAAGCAGTTCACAAAAGTTTTTGGCCTGAAATATTCCAGAAAAGTGATAACGTATGAGCGGGCAGGACCGAAAACGTGATATCATGCTCTTAAAAAAACAATCGAGAGCTCTTTTAGGTTTTTGACTGACCGTTAAAACGGTAGTAATATGAATTTTACCAAAAGACATACGAGCGATCTCATAAACAAACAAATTGCCTAAAACGATTATAATATATTAGATGAAAATCTAAAAGCTAACCAACCGCATTTGTTATTTTAACTTGTTTGATTAATAATAATACAGTTGTGGGTCATAATAGTTATTGGAAACTTCGCACGGTTACTTCGTATGCATGAAGTTTTGGTTGAGTTGTACTAATATACGTGTTCGGTATTTTATTTATCACGTAAGTTATTATTCAACGACAAGACGTATAACAGTAACAACTGACATATAGTTAAGTTTAATATTATCACTTCGTCGGAATCTACTGTACCTCTTCATAACAATTTTCAAATTAAACGGTTTACTGGTACTATAATAATGTGCTATTTGTGATAAATCTAAAAACAAAGAATACTTTAAATATATTTCAAACCAAAATTTCGCTTGTTTGTATACTTTAATAACAATTAGTACGCCATAATAAAATTAACCTGTAGAAAGCATAAATATTCTGAGAACTTCTGATTTTAAACTTCCTACTGTTGAGTACGTTCAACGCCACAACAGATGTAAATCTGTCGGTTACATTTCATAATTATATTACTCTGACGCATATTAGAACACATATTGTGTACTTGTATAATAATTTATATAAATTAACAATATCATTATCGACAATTCGTTTTGCTATACAATTGTTGTATAATTTATGTTCTAGTTAATAAAGGTCGGATAATCTAAGTGCTACTTTTTGTTGATAACGCCTTATAATGCCTAAACTCTCATTTACCTAGTAATTATTTTTAATTTTAAAAACAGTAAATAATAATTGTAGGTATGATTAAGGCTCAACGAAACAAGCCGAGAGCTATAGTTAAGTTGATTCAGATTAATTGCAGCTTAATAGTTTTTGGAATAATATTTAAAAGTTATTACTTTTTATAGCATTTTTCTAGTTATTTAAAAAACAATTATATTTTCTGAGAAGTAGAAAAAAAAATAGTTGATAAAATATGGTGGCAAGGTTAGATAAAAATTAGGTTAGATTAAGTTCAAGTTATAGTATATTACAGATCAGCTCGAATTTACATGTTAATCTAAGTAGGCATATTTGTTTTTTACACCATGTCGAATTTTCACAACAAATTGTCTAGTTATACAAATGCCTTAATAATACTCATTTAAGACACAAATTGTAGACATGCGTTGAAATTATAAAATATTTGCTGAAAAAGTTATTAAAAAGTAAAAAATAAATGAAAAATTCTATAAAATTTGAATTTTTTGAATTTATTTTATTTCTTATTCAATATATTGTATTTAATTTATTTTTGTATACTCTAGACCTGCATATTATTTTGACTTAAGGAGCTTATACACTATGCATTGCTCTTTTCATTAAAACTTAACATTGAGCTGAAATTAGTAAACATATATTATATTAACACAGGAGAAAATGATCAATTTTGATATTTATTTATTTTTAACTTTTAGATCTCACAAATGCCCTATTTTTATACAAATACTTACTATTTACTCGGATTTAAGTTTTAAAAAAACATTTGACTTCTCCACAACATTTACAAGGTATCGATGGGAATTAATAATTTATAAGTGAACAATCTCATTTTATAAAGTTTTTATTTTATGATTTCCACAATAATAGTAAAAACGAAAATTACAAAATAATATGTACGCCGGTCGATGCACCAAGCAATTATTAAAAAATGTATATACGTTTTGAAAACTATGTAAAAATTAAAATGTGTCGTTTTTTACCAAAAATACGCAGATAATGAAGACGCTTCTGAAAATCATTATCTATTGTCTTTTTTTGTAAATCCGATTTCAAAAGTCCCGACCCTATATATTAGTCACGGCAATAGAAAATTCCATTAACTATATATCATGTTATCAAATTGGACTTACCGGGAACAGACCCGCGTTACCCTTCGTAGGACTTGTACACCACATCCGTTATGCTATAGTATAGTCTATAATAATATTATTACCGATGTCAACACACGTATAATATCATACACACTAATCGCCGACAACTACAAAGCGAACGTTTACTACGGACGGTTCGTTTCTGAGTGTATCGGAAATATCAGCAATATGCGTTGGTCGTGTCTCGGCCGCTAAGATAAGTAGTCCGACGGCGGTACGGCAAAGGTATACACGCCGGAGGCGGATGCGGTGGCGACAGCAACGGTTTTTAAACGACTGAAACCGCAACGCGCTCCGCTCTTGGAAGGACTACCCCTGGCGCCTAAAACACAGGCCGGGCGGCGCATGTCGAACGCACCGCGAGACGTTACCCCCACAGCATAGTATAATAATAATAACAATAATGTAATAATATGTATATATATATATATATATATATATATATATATTTGTATATTTACTGGCCGTATTTATATTGAGCGTTTAAAAAATATGTTCAGCGAACAAACAAAATGTGTTTTCAACGTCGGTAAACCGGGCGACGAGATTGCCGTCACCACTTCCGTTGTCAGCAGTACCTGTTTCTCAGTTCTGTGTGCGTTTCTTTTTTTATTACCATCGACATGCAAAGTCAACGATGGGTGTTCACGTCGCCCGGCGGCGAAGACGAGTACAAAAAGCCTTCGGTCACCAGGGAACATTACACCGCAGCCGTGGTCCGACAAAAGGAATCCGCCAACGAAATCGGTGTGTATCGGTTGTGTATTTGGCGACTTCTAACGGTGTTTACATATTACATACATGTTTTTTTTCGCGTTGCTAAAGACCGCAAAAGACGGGATCTGGAACAGTTCATGTGGCGAACCATGACCGATAGGGTTTTAAACGAAATGAATGAAAAGCGTCAAACGGCCGCGGAATACGGCCGACCCGCTTGTCAAACGTCTTACTGCGAGTCTTATGGCACAACGGGATTCCGCGTTAAAGAACTGGGTACCGAAATCGATCAAGAGGTAAATGCAACCGACTTATAGGTACATCTAGCTATATATTGTAAGAGAAATACAAACACGTATAATATTATGTCGTTAAAGGCATGAAATCGCAGAAAACCTTTAGTGCCCGAACCCCCGACCTCTCTTTTGCAGGTCAAGTGGTTTCCCGAATGAGTGACCAGGTACCTCCTTTGAACCGTGAATTTTCGTCGTCCACGTCTTTAGCGAATAACTCAAATTTTATTACTATAGGTTAGCTTATTACAGAAAGTCCATTTCTACTAAAGCCTTTATATTATAATTTCACCATAATCTTCACTCTAGTGGTTTACTAAAAGCAAAAAAATTGAATTTAACTGATACTGATACAGTTGAAATAAGATGTTATCGCGTTATTAAAGTCAATAAAAAAATTGAGGAAAAACCATAGTTACTATATATAATTAAAGTTAAAATAGGGACCTCCTTTATAGACATTTACAATTTTTAAAATTGAATCTTTATCATAAATATATGTTATATATATATTAGGAAAGGAGTTTTCAAAATTAAGATATAAAAAAAACGATGGAGGCTACTATTTTTTAAGTCTTGAAATATGAAATATAAAAAAACAAATGCCCAAGTAGGTAAAAAAATATACAAAAAAAAATAGTATTAAATCAATACTGAACGAGAAAATCTTTTCTTTGAAGTTTTTAATTTGAAGTTTTCTTAAATATATTAATTTTTTTTAGTTCAGTTACCTATTACTTTTTTATAACTATTTTAGCAAATATTTTTACTTTAGTTAAATACATACAAGTTGTATTTGATGTATGTAAATTTTAATGTATTAATGAGTATAAATAAGACATATATATGGATAAATATTTAAGGGTTTCGTGAATTTCTACTTTTTGAGGTCCAGTCTTTTATATTAGGGGTTCTGCAATTCAGTTATTGATCTACACATCGTTGATAACTTAAAATGGTTTTTATTTATTTCACTTAATATGCATGGTAAATATCTAATTATGTTATGAATTATTTAGTCAAAAAAATTAGGTAATAAAACGAGCATTGCAATTACTGTATTTTATAATAAAGAGGTAGGAAAATTCATTGTAGACACAACATTTTAAAGCTTATTTGTGTGTTAGTACTGTCTTGTTGTATTACCGTAATCCGCATAATACAATCATTTAACCATCGTCCCTTTTTGCATAATAATAATAATTATATTAATTAAACGAATGTAGATTAAATAATAATCACCTGGTTGTGAAGTGTTTAAAATAAAACTTTAAGCTGTAAGTAATTTTCATCAAGTCAAAGTTTTAATTAAGTAGCTAAATTGGAAATATGATTATAATATGAATTAATAATGGGATGATTAATACAAAATTATTCATTAAAATACTGCCCCAGCGAAATCTCATTTAATTGCATTATAGTCGTTAACAATTATTACGAAATTTTATATTGTACTCGGTACTGAACAACTATTGAAGTATCTACTATATGTTGTATAATTACTACTTTTCCAACTTAAAATACACAGTTGTTCATAGGAAAATAATTATCTATACCGTTCAATATACAAAGGTGATAAGATATTAAATGATAACAGAACCTTGATAAAAACAGTAATATTTTAAGATGAGGGATAAAATATTATTTCATCACATAGAGTATTAAGTGCTCAACAGTGAAGACTTCTTTTTCTTTTTTGTGTGATCATACTGGTTTTAGTTCTCATTGTGTTTTTTTGTTTTTCGTGTGTAAAACATCACGATTGTGGCCGCCATATTAGAAATAAACGGCTACGCTTTTCCGTGTTACCAGACCTGGTTATAAGGTCATATCATATATATATATATATATATATATATATATATATGATATTAGTTCATTTCTTTATATTATTACACTATGGACTATGGTTGAGACTATTCAGTCTCTCAATTCTTTGTCATGTTTCAGAAGTAAAAACTTATAAACATATAAAAGATAATGTGTTTATTTTGTTATATTTAATATAGTATAAGTATATGTAGTATGGACCGTATATATATATATATATATATAGTTCATAAAGATACTTGTAAAGGCTCTAAGTTGAAGTCAGTTGATCTCATCTTCTTCGACAGATTAGCATATTTTCAAACTTTAAAACACATAACGCTTTAACTTTTATAATAATAGTAAAAATAAAAATTTTGAATTTGTGTTATGCGTATTAGAGATATACTACTATCTAATTAAAAACTACAAATTTTTTTTCCATTATTGAGCCGGTTTATTTGCACTCATTCACTTCTGTTGTTTTTATATTTTATGTCTGAATCTACGATATTTTTTAAACCCCTGAACCGATATCTTCATGCAGAAAGTCTGTAGATTATATATTATAACGATATTTTATATTGAGCCAAAAATGTAAATCCTTTCACCATCAAAATCTGGAAAACACCAAAAAAAATTACATATTTTTCAACTTAAAACAACGGTAATCTTTTTTTATTTCACTTTTTTAGGTGAAGTTAAATAAAAATTAGACAGTAGGTAAATTTAGATTGAGACTGTAACTTAAACAATGTTTTTTAGAAATCATTAGTTCAACTCTTTTTTCATAAAAGAAATACAAAAAAAAAGGGAAAATTACTAAGATAAATAAAAAAGAATTACACAATAACTGTCATAGGACGATCAACCCTAATCGTCCTCTCTATGTATCGTCCTAATGTATCCTCTCTAATTCTAAAAGTACAGTTAAATAAATAAAATCAAATTTAATTCGTCTTTATTCTAATAAAATATTCCTGCTATAACTAATTATACTTATTTCTAACCGTTAGGGTGCTACTAAAAAACATTAGTTATTCGATAAAACATTTTTGCTTGTACGAAATTACTTTAATTATTTATTTTTTAATTACTGCATAATTTAAAAAAATTAACATACTAATTGCAAAAAATAGTTCTTAACCAGTTTTACACATTTTTGGAAAAGGCCACCTTAATTGTTAGTGTTAGGTGTTACTCGGTACTTGAGGTTAAGCTGTGTCCGTTGCTACTTGATCCCTGATGAGTGACCACCTGGGTATTTGTGCGGTAGACCTTGCCATATATCTCTACCCCGCATGTTCCAACCAAACCAACTAACAAGCTAATGGCATTAGATGCCGATGATTATACTTATACATTTTTATAAATACAAAATGACCAGTATCATTTGACATAGTAAAGTGTCTTTATATATTTGCTTAAGAGTTATCGTAAATCTAATTTTTGTACATGTTACGCATGACAGAATTTAATTAAATTTATGCTTTAACACGGTCAAAAAAAGGTATGAAAACCAAAAGAAACGTAGAGTATAAAACAAAAATAAAAAAACTTTTATCGTTTATTTTTAAATGGAAAAAACGTATCTTTTGATCGACGAACTACGAAGAATGCGTAAACAAATCAAAATATTCAAAATAAAGTTTCTTAAATTTAGTTGTTTAACTTCTGTACGTACACTATTTTGTAAAGTTTTCACGTCCGATTCTATGCGCTGCATCGTTCCATTCTCTATCAGCAACTCTGTTTTTTTTTTCACCGAAATCGAATTAAACATACATAATAAACAGTACTCAATAACTTTATCTATGAAATCAATAATTTTCTAATTTAGATCTATGCAACATTATAAATAAAAATACAATAATCTACATGATGTTTATGTGCTGAGATAAATTCTGGCATTATTGTGTTATCGTCGATCGTCATTTTCATTAATATTATTCATTATATAATTGTTATTTTAACACATAGAAATTAAAAAAAAATCTGTTTTACAGCTTGAAAGTAAGTATCCACTTTACACTGACACCGCAAAATCCGTCCATTTAAGAGAAATCGAGAAGACAAAAAAAAAAGAAGCAATTCACAAACCACTTTCAGACGTATTCAAACGGGATAGCCGTTTTACTAGTCGCTTAAGCAATCCACAAGATACCCATGCACTAGCACCTCCAGGACATTATGCGTATGTTTAAATACAATACATTTTAATGTTTTTTTTTTACTATATTTAACCATTGCGTATTTGTATTTTTATTTATAAACATAATGTTTTTTACTAAAATATTATAAAATAATAGAGGTAATAGTTTTAAAATGTTTAATATTTTAACTTAGGCTAGAATATAACACAATAATGTATGTATAGCGCTTATAACAAGATTTTGAAAAATATTTAAGTACAAATCAATTAATAAATTGATTCAGTGGTGAGTTACTTAGTATTTGTACTGTACACTACTAACTAGTAAAAGTACCCCCTGACAAAGTTTGAAGTTCAAATATATAGTGATATTGTGTGGAAACAATAGGCACTTTTTAAGTAAAATGTAAATTGTATAAAACTATGGTGAAGCCAGGAATGATGTGTATAATTGAGTGTTAAAAATGTAATAAAAGAAAAGACTAGATATTTTTTAGGTTAAGCAAAATAAGCAATGCGTACAAGAGAAGTGTTAAGATGAATTGTTTAATAACAGTAAAAATTATTAAAATAAAATATAGAATGAATTCATAATGATCATTTTGAATAAAAAATTAATGATTTTATGATTGAAAAATGCCAAAGAAGAAGTGATTAAATAGTATAAATAAAAATGAAAGTGTGTAGCAAAAAAATGGAAAAAGTTGAAATATTACTATGAAGTTCAAATTAAGGTTTACTAAAGTATTATAATATGCGGTTATAGACATTTCAATTTAACTTGTTTTTGTATTTTTATAAGTAAGAATATTATTTACTGATTGTTGATTTTCTTGTGGTTAAAAATATTAGTTTCTATTAAAAACTGGTAATAAAAATTGCTGTTTGCTTAAAATTTCTCTGAACAATTTTAAAAAAATATACAACTATTCATGTGCGTAAAACAATTGAAATTACCGGACCAGATTAATTCTGGCTATATTAATCCAAAAGTAAAATATTTTAACTCTTAGAAATTGTGCGAGAGCACTCTAAAATGAAATGTGATATCTATATTATTTATAACAAAGGTCGGAGCTTTATATAAAACAATATTTTCTTTCAGCTTGCTTGTTATATTTCTCTCGAAGAGACCATAAAAATCGATTTTAATTAAGCTGTTTTTAAAACGAGCTAATTTATGTATATATATATAGTTCTTGAACTAAAAAAAATATTAATGACTCTTAACCTAACTTTCCGTTCAATGTTTGTTTACGCATGAGTTTCCCAGTTCATCCATCCGATTTTATTTTGAATACAAGTGATTGACTTGGCTTGTTCTTTGACATTAATAATACTCACAGTGGAATTGTATGGAATAAATAAACAAGTAAGTATTCCTTTTTATAACATACTAAAAAAAACAATTACTCAAGTGAAAGTTTTTAACATTTATGGAAAGAAAATTAGTTTGTAAACTCAAAGAAAAAAAAAATTAAAAATACTTATTTCAACGAAAACCGATAACCATTTTGAATATTAATTGTTTTAAAAATTAAAACTGGTCGGATTTTATGAACAATGTGAAAATGCTTAGAGTATATATAATATACACTTTATAGGGCCACCGTTTTCATTTTGAAACAACAAAAGGGATAACAATAAAAAGAATTTTCAGAAGAATCGAAGCATAAAACGGGCTACAGCAAGTAGGGAGTGTTTGTATAGACTATACTATAAATTTATATTTAAACGATCCCACGAGACAAGTAGACATCCTTAAAAATAATAAAATTCTTATTTACATTACACTATTTAGGGTATTTATTTTCGATGAGATTCGATCGAAGAATTAAAAAAATACTTTGATTTATCTCTTACTTAATCTCTTATTTATCTCAAATGAAATGTATAAATTTATATTTATACTATCCTAACACTACTGTGTAATTTAAGCTGTAAGCCAATATAATAGTATAGACTTGCATATTTAAAGGCTATAGTTTTTATTTAAATATCCAGTTCCAAAGAAATACATATATTTTGAGACACGTGTCAAGGTACACGATTATCATAAACAGATTAGACACCTTAATTTATCTAAATGTTTACAAAATTGAATAAAAAATGACTGTCAAATTAATATTCTAAACGATAAATATTATTGTCGATAAAAATAATGATGAGTTCAATTTACAAAATAATCAGGAAAACATTTTATTGAAATTAAAATAATTTCCAACGGTAAACACATAACTATAAGTAGTTTTATACCGCTTAAATACATTTTATTATGATTTGTATCACAAGAGAACACTGGCCTATTTCTTTTAAAACCTCTAATTTGGTGGTTTACATTAAAAACGTTTTTCTAGTTACTATGATTTATCTATGTTTACAAGACTTGGACTATACAAACTATTAATAAAATAAAGGAAGAGTGTTATACGTTTAAATGTAGTAATAACGAATCAATTTTAAGTGGTTAAGCTAAACTTTTATGATTTGGCGCCCAACTGTCCTGTTTTTTTGTTCAATTAATGAATTCGCCATAAACTCAATTTATTATTATTTTTCTTTTAGAGTTCGTTTAAAAGTGGTAGCAAAAGTTTTAGAAAAATAATTACAAGCTATTACAAATTAAATTAAATGATTATTACTTGTTATTAAAATTATAATTATTTTTTATATTCAAATTATACAAAAATAACAATATTACAAACGACACTTAAAAATATTTTTTCACAATATTACTATACTAATGAGTAATACAGGTTTTTTAAATTTGGTTTAATATGTAATAATTATTATTTAAATTACCAAGTACTTATTCTTATTTGAAGAAAAAAATATCATTTTACTCTTCCAGCTATTATTTCATGATTCTATTTTATTTAGAGAACAAAAATGTTGTTAAGTAAATGTATAGAAAATAGAAATTAAAAATAAACAAATGTTTAAATAATAAGAATAAAATGTCCTAGATTCGAGTATGTCTATCCAACCAACCTGTGAAATGTGTATGGTATTATTTATTTTCTTATAATAAATACAGTATTATCAGTTTTGTAATACTCATATTACTATGTCCCTTATATATTTCTACAGTATTCAATTAAGAATATACTTAATCCATATATTCTTTATGTGTGTCCAAAACCATGTAATATTGGAAATCGTTCTAGAGTTCTTTGTACTTTGCATATTTCGTAAACCAAATCTAAAACCATACAATACATTCAATATGTAGTTAAATAAATAAACAGAATATGTTTAAGCAAAATAGTTGTTGTAAACTTGTTGCGTGTCCTAGTATACTAAATCCGTATACAAATATTTAACTAAGTATTTATATATATCGTATGTTACCAACCGGATTTCTGCTTTTTTTACAGACATATCCGGTACGCAAGTTCGCTTGTCCTCCGACCACATAAATCCCCACCGACAAATGCACCTGTAACTCCCTGGTAGATTAATACAAGTTTCTGATTTATAATCACACTTTTGTGATCCGACAGCGCATTCGTTTACATCAACACAAGTGCCATATCTATGTAAACAAAGTTGAAAATATAATCGTATCAGTATTTATTTAAAACAAAATTAAATTCAGTGTCTGTGTTGAAAACATAACTAAAACGGTTTATGTAAAAAAATTGAGTTCAATGACACCATAAAATATATTAAGGAATTTTCTATGAAAAAAAGATATCTAAAATACTGTGGACATCATGTTTGAAGTGAATACTTCGACTGAAAGTTAGGTTACGCTTGTTGCTTTATTTGAACTCTACAGTTCTTTACACAAAAGCTACGGTGTGTATCAGTTACCTGGAGTTCCACGTGTATCCAGTGTCACAAATGCACGACACATTCCACTCATTGTACACGACAGATGGCAAATACCCGTTTTGATGTCGATGGAACGTGCACTGGTTGTTTAATAAAGCATTAGTATTATGGTTTTGGCGGTTGCAAAGGCCGTACATGAGTGTATAATATTAGTTGACCACAAAGTACATATATTTATATAAAAAAAAGGCAATATTGTGTTGCACTTGTTTCGCATATGAAACTAGAACTTGATTGGTGAATTAAAGAAAAAAAATCCAAGAAACCTTAGAACAAAGTTTGTTCATTCCAGATTTGCGTTATACTACGAACCTAACCGGAATAATTTAGTGAAAACTTTCAATAAGTTGATAAATATTTGCTTATAAACTTGCAAGTTCCCAAAATCAGTACCAAGACCAAAAGTCTCTGTACTATATTTAATGAAGGATTTTGAAACAACTTATTTTTACATATTTTTCTCTATGGGTACATAATATTTTTAATGTTTTTAAATATATTATGTATCATTTATGTTGTATAAATATTTACTGACCGTGTTGTTGTACACGGTTTCTGAAACGTTCCGGCATGGATCCAGGTCTTCACACTCGGTCGGATGTGATGCGTGACGAACGGGGCAACAGGGATCCGGACAAAAACTGTAAAGTGCACATTGATAAGGAACTGTGTTATCAGACCGAAAATCAGGATGCGCATCAGTTTGATAGCATTCGCCAATATCGTCGCACGGTTCATTGAATCTCGACAATAACGTGATATTCTGATTCGATCAGCGCAAAAATATTCATCATTATAAATAGCTTATACACGTGCTGCTAATTTATTAAGTATGTTAATTTAACCTATATTCTTAAGTGCCAACATTTTCCAAAGATCTTGTATTTAATTTGGGAAATTTTTATTCTGAGCAACTTAAATACTACAAATATATATTCTACAACAAATTTAGGTATTTAAATATTTATACATATGTATGTGTGTGTGTAATATGTATATAATATGGTTCAATGTTATATAACTATTTAAATTTTATATTTCAGTTGTGTTATAGAATAGATAGCTTTGATATTCGATAAAATAAAAAAAACAGACATAATATTATTATCAATGCTATAATCAATAAAAACGAGGTAGAGAAATACATCGGTGTTAGCAATGTTGTAATCAGCGAATTACATTTTTCACGCTAAGGAATGGGACAAAAAAAAAACG